CATAGCAACTGGTCAATCGGTTGTTCAGTCATTTAGTTGCTTAGGCTTTTATACACACACACACACACACACACACACACTAGAGGCTCGATGCACGAGATTCGTGCACTCTGTGTGTGTGTGGGGGGGGGTGTCCCTCAGCCTGGCCTGCGCCCTCTTGCAGTCCAGGAGCCCTCAGGGGATGTCCGACTGACGGCTTAGGCCCGCTCCCCAGGGGGACAGGGCCTAAGCCATCAGTTGGACATCCTTAGCACTGCCATGGAGGCGGGAGAGGCTCCTGCCACCCCTCTGTGCTTGTCAGCAGTGAGCCCAGCTTCTGGCTGAGCGGTGCACCCCTGTGGGAGCGCACTGACCACCAGGGGGCAGGTCCTGCAGTGAACGTCTGCCCCCTGGTGATGAGTGCACATCATAGTGACCAGTTGTTCTGCCATTTGCTCAATTTGCATATTAGCCTTTTATTATATAGGATAGATTAATAGGATCTGATTTCCTCCTTATATTCAGGTAAGTTATATCTGCAGCCTTTGGACCCCTAATTCTCATGCCAGACTGGTCTCTAGTAAAGGTACCCACTATTCCCTGAGAGCCTTACATAGGCACTGTGCTAGGGACTTGCCATTCACAATTTTTTCCTCAGTGCAACTCATAAGGGGCCACTAAAGTCAACTAATAACCTACATTGCTGAGAAACATACTTGGTATCTTTTGACTCCAAAGACCTAGTCTATATAGGGAGTGTCTCAAAACACTTCAAATGAAGAGAAAAATGCATCAGTTACCAATAGCAATGCCCACTGTGAACATATCAGGGATAAGCAAAATTTCCCTGATGTCTCAGTGACTACAATTATGATTTGTCTCTGTCATAGATGTAACGTCTCCTAATATATAGCTGGTGCTGCTCCTCAGCTATGTTTTCTGAAAGTTCTGTGGCATCCAGATCAAGATCTAATATATGTGCTATATGCCTCAGGCATGATGTTAGGCCAGGTGGAATGTATACAGACTCTGTATGAGGCATTATTTCCTTCAATCTGATGCAGCCTCAAGAATTTATATCCAAAACCAGAGAAAACTACACAAACAAAAAACCAGTAACTGTGCATGAACCAGTCCATGAATATTTATTCTAATCACTGTACAGCAACAATTAGTAGCATGCACAGCAAGAACAATGTGAAATCTGAGGCTACATGATTGCAGAACTGAATACATCAGCATTTTTAAATGGCATACTACAGATAATGCATTTTCCTTTCTGGATAAAAAAGTCATTTCATGTTCCCCAGTGGAATAAATAGAAGGTAAAAATACATAAAAGGCAAAAATTAGATGTAAGTGTCTGTCCCTACACATACAGGTCACGAAAGCATCAGTCACATTATTTGATTTTACAGTTTGGATATTCATCAGCCTCTATTTGAGTAAGATGGAAAAACAAATAAAAATGTGAGTTCACCAAATTTCCTACTGTCTATACAGTGTAGTGGGCTTTTTACAAATACACAATAATGCATGAGTCTCATGACTAATGGAAAGCCTTAATGAATTTTCTGGTTATTTTCCAAATTTACTTTTCATAATATCAAGTGGTATAATGTGTTTTGGTAGTTCAAATTGTATGTGTGCTGTTTCAACTAATTGCTGCCAGAAAAAAAAAAGTCAATCAAGATGAAAAGCTGCTAAAATCAAACTAAACTAGAACTCTCAAATTTGTAAACTAGAGTAACCATAGTAATGCTAATTTAAAATGATCACTGATTAAACATTTTTTGTAACCACTGTCAGAAACTTGCTATATCTTTTACAGAACTATTATGAGTTATTCATCATGCCATTCTTCTAAATTTCTGACACCTTTAGTGAAAGATCATGTAAAAATAAAAGGGTCAGTATGGAAAAAACCTAGATGCCATGCTCCGCAAGCTGCGTGTGTGTGTATGTGTGTGTGTGTATACACGTGTGCGCTGCGTGCACATGCAAACAGGGCCCACCTAGGCCTAAAATGGCTGAGTTGCAGGATGCTGTTGCTTGGTGACCAATCAGTATCTCCTCAGCCACAAAGTAATCTAAACAGTGAGAGATATGTCCTCTCAGCTTTAGGCATGGCCAGGACAAATATGGAAGGGCATTTTCATCTTTTCCAGTATTCTACATATCTTTCATTTTAAGCCAGTTGACACTTGCTTGATTTTATCATCGGTTAAATGTAGGCTTTAGGAGAAAGCATATTCTCAAAGCTATATCTATATGCTTTGGGGAAAATAAGAGGTAGAACCGAGCTGCTTTCAGATGGAAAGATATTATTTCAATTAGCTGTGTATGGTGTGTCTACTCTCTCCTCGTACAACCAACCTCCCAGTTGCTAGCAGTCTCCCTTTCTTTCATTAAACACAAGTAGTTAATTAGCCACAGCCTGTCCTCTCCCCTTCTCTCTTTCCCTTTTCTCAGTAGTAATGATGTCTAATTATCAACAGCAACCTCAGGTGCAGATCTCTCTCGCTGACAGCAAGCCAGCTTCAAGTAGCTAGAATGATTCCCAGTCTAGTTGAAAATACCATTCAAATACAGCATTTTATTCAACCCATATATGCCTTTGAAGGGAAAGAAAATATCATTTCTGATTCTCTGGTGATTGTACTCCGGCTATTAAAAAAAAGTCAAGGTATTTCTAAGGAAGAAATAATGTGAGATGTGGGGAAACACTGGCTAAAAAGGGATCATTTTTTTAACTTGCTGAAATGACGATTGGCTGTCTCTCAGAGAAGGAGGAGCCTATAATTCTATGTCTAGAGCAGCATAAAAATTTCATAAAGAGCAATAGAAGAGTTCATGAATTAAATACCTCTTCAACATTTCAAAACAGGCTTGAATGAAGAGCAGGGCTTTTAAATGCTCCATGGAAACTGTTAACTAAGAATATCAATTGATGGATTACATTTTCTCCCATAAATATGTGGAATCTTTACTGAAACGAAAAACAAGAAGTGTTTCTTTATTTGTAACCTGGGAGTTGTTACGCTATATTAGGTGTATTAACAGTAATTCTTTAAGAACTCTGCATTAATTTTCGAATGAAAATGTGTGTATCCGAGTATAAGAATGCTGGCTTGAATCATAGGCATCCATGTTTATCGTAGTGCCTCGGTAACCATTACAGAATTTATATTACTTAGAATTTTTAATTAATGTTTTATACATAGCGGATATAACCAAATCTATGCAAGTATAAACTACTGGACCAGGTGACGCTATCAGCTGGCAACATGAAAAGAATGAAAAACAAACTTCCCAGCTAACAATGTTTTAAAAAAACATATACAATATTATTAAATATTTAGGTAAATAGATCTTAAACAATTATTCTGTTCATTTAATTACCTCGATATTGCCCAAAGGAAAATACAGTCCGATGTTCTGAATTCCCATTTTGTCTAACAATAATTTATTTTTTAAAATCAGGTTCTTAATGCTACTCCTCATGCAAATGAATCAAAACACTTCATTGGCTACAGCAGACTTCTGGGCTCATCCAGATGTAAATAAACCTCAGTTTTAATCCATGGCCATCTCATCCTCATTAATTAGGAAAACAAGGCAGTAATCTCAGCATCTTCTTTAGCAACGCCACATGGTAAAGAAAGCTGCATTTATAAATTTACCTCCTAGAACTTCCAGCAATAACATTAAAACAACAACACAGCAGAACTTTTATGTTTCACTTCACCTTTATTTCCACTTCTCATATATTTCCAAAACAAATATACCTCCTTCAAACAACTATACCTAACCTCGGGAAACCAAAAACTGTTTTCCAAACCTGAAAGATTCCTCCCAGGAACCCTTTGAGAAACCTTTCCTATGCATATTTCCAATCTAATGTGCCCCTTGGAGATAGAAGAATGGCTTTCAGGACCCCTCCTTTCCAGCACCCTCCAGGAATACCGCACGGGAAGCCGTTGCTGGCGGGGAGGGAGGAGAAGGAGCCAACGCCAAGCAACCCCACAGCCAGGCAAACATGCAGAGGACGCCAGACGCCCTCCCCCACCCGCCTCCAGGCCAGTACCAACCGTGGCGCGATGGAGAGAGAGGTCTCGGGGATCTCATCTGAAATCCCACTCGTTCCCATCTTCTCTCCAAGGAACTCGCTGCTGCCGCCGCCGCTGCCCGCCGCCCGGCGAGGCGGACACACTGGGCTCCGAGCGCCAGCCCCTCGCAGCGCCCGGGCTCAGCGCGGTGCGGCCATGAGGCTAGTGCCATCCCAGACCGAGAACCCAACACCAGCCCCATTGGATGGCGCCCAGACCCATCTCTCTTTGTGGTTCACCGAGCAGCTACGCCTTTATTCGTGGAAGCGGGACGAGAGGAAGGGGATGGGGGCGGGGAGGAGTCATCCCAGAGCCTCATCTACAATAAACAGTCCCGGCAGCATCCCTGGGAGCCGCGGGGCGATCGGACAGCCGCGCGCCTCCCAGGCGGCTGGGTGACAATAAAACCTGACAGTGTCGGGGAGGGGACCCCGCATTCGCGACTAGCGCCACACTCGGTCTTTGTACCAATAAGGAGACACGGTAGCCTATCGATCAGAATCGTCGGTTCTGAGAGCGCGCAACTGGGGTGCCAGCGCGGCCTTCACGCGCCGCGGCGAAGGCGGACACGCGCCGGGCGCCCGGCAGGACCTGGGACAATGGCCCCGCACGAGGGCGCGGGACGCCGCCCGGCCCCGGGCCGGAGGCTCTGGCAGCGCGTCCCGCAGCGGGGACGCCCGCGGGGGGCGGGGGACGGCGGGCTCCGGGCGGCGCTGCCGCTTTAAAATAAAGGACCACAAAGCCTCCGCGATGGGGGGACGAGAGTGGGGGCGACTTGGGGAGGGGGTGGCGGAGGGAGGGGGCACACGAGCCAACGGTGGCTCCCGGCTCCCCCTTTCTCCCCTTTTGACACGCCCGACCTCCCCGCGGAACTGCCGCCGCAGACAAATAACAGGCAGGCGAGGCACTCACCGTGGTCTTGATCGGCAAGTAGAGCACTGGCTTGGCGCCGCCGCCGGCGCGCGCCTCCTCGGGCTGGCCCAGCTGGAAGCCCTTGGACTTCACCCAGAATTTAAATTTCGCGTTGTCCGTGGAGCTGGACTCGGAGCCGTGGAGGAGCTGCACGATCCGCTCGTATTTCTTACGGGTCACCGTCTTGGTCTTGCCCGAGTCCCCGTAAGTCCGGAGGCACCAGTCCTGGAACTGGCGGTACATGTCGCGCTCGCTCTCCATGCTCCCCGCGCGCTTCGCACCTGTTCACCCCGGGCTCATGAAGAAGGCGGCCCCCGCCACGATGCAGGGGCCCGCGGTCCCGGCCGCCGCCGGAGCCCGTCGCGGGTGGGGGGAGGGATGGGGCAGGGAGGAGGGTCCGGTCGGGCACCCGCAATCAATGCCCGGTGCGGCCAAGTCTCCGGTCCGTTCGCGATCGCCGCGATGCGCGGACGCCCTCCTCCTCCTCCGCGATGGATCTAAAATTGTGTGAGCAGGACCATCCCACCAGCGCCGAGCCAGAGGAGCTGGGTTTTGAATAATTAAAATCTCATTCCTCGGTTGATGACAAATCCCGATGTTGACTTCAGGTGGGCCCTCCTCGCCTCGCCCCGGGCTGTGTCCTGGGCGGGCAGGTGAGCGCGGCGCCGCCTCCCGCGTGCGCCCCTGACGCTTCCCGGCCGTGGGCCCCGCGGACCGGAGCGAGGGCTGCGCCTCCCGGGAGAACGGCCGCCCGGCCTAGCGCCTCGGAGCTCGGAGACCCCGGCCCCGGCCCCGGCTTCCCTTTCTCCAGGGTCCGGTCCGCCTCGGCCTCCCCTGCGTGGGGCGTTGAGAGACTCGACTAGAGGGAGAGAAAGTTCTTACCTGTCATGTTGTTCAGCCTATCAAATCCTGCTACACAGGACATTTCTAAAAGGTATTTTTGAAACGGCTTAAAAGACCATTTCTTCAGAGGCATTTAGGCTAAATGCCTGCCCCCCAGGTAGCTTCCCGGAGTTAGGTCCCAGGATGAGCCAAAGCGTTCACGGAGCTGTGGCCCTAGTTCCACGGGAGGCAGGGAGAGGGGTGCCCCTAGCAGGTCTCGCTCCGGAGGCTGCGGGAGGACGCAGGCAGGCCGCTGGGCGGAGGCAGGGCCCCCCGAGGGCGCCGGGTCCTCAGACAGGACGCCTCTGGCTCCTGCCGAGCTGGGCACAGGCATCCATCGAAGGACGTTGATGACACAGATGCTTAACACCATGGCAGGAGATGGAAAGATATCGAGAGACCATTTTCCCCTGCTTGGTTACAGTTTGCAGCTCACACGGGAGGTGTCGGGCGTCTGTTTTCCCTCCGCCACGTCATGGACACCCCTGCACCGCTCCGAGTGGCCACCGAGGAGTTCCCGGGGACGGTTTTCTCAGGCAAAGGCAATCGGCGGCGCCTCCATCCAGGATGCCCACCGTCTGCTACGGAGCCGGGAAGAGGGCAGTTCCCATCCTCCGCGCCCGGCGATCGCGGCCGCTCCTCTTTCTTCCACTCTCGGCGGAGGCCCGCGCCCGTCCCGGGAGGCGGCTCCGCCAGGCGGGCGGCCCGGCCGGTGCCCACCTTTCGCCCCCGGTCGTCGTGTCCAAAACGAAAGCCCCGAATGGGGACGCTGTGCTTTGTACCCCCTGTGCCGCGGCCCGGTCCGGCCTTCGCAAAAACGGTCAGTAGCTCCTGCTCCGACCACCCTGAGTGCGTGCGTGCGAGCAGACTTCAGGGAGCGGGGTGCGGGGCGCGCGCGTCCCAGAGAAAGGTCTGGCGGCGCGGGCGCCCGGACTGACAGCCCGGGCAGAGCGCGAGCAGCTCCACACACTCACCCTCTCGCCTCTCTCCTCACCCCACCCCTCCCACTCCCCTCTCCTCCCACCCCCACCTCCCCGGCCCTCTCCCAGCTCGCTGATTGGTCAACGGGACAAAAGTTTCTGTGGAGACGGCTGGGCGCTGACGTCACGGGCAGAATTGTCCCATTTAGGGATCCCGGGGGCAGTGCGCATGCTGCCGGCGGCAGGTTCGCGGCGGCGGGGGCAGCAGCGGGCCCGGCCGCAGCCAGGTGGCGGCGAGGAGCACTCAGCATCCAGGTGGGGGGACGACTCCGGCAGGGTTTCCATGGAGATTCCTCTGGGTCTAGCCTAAAAACGGCGGATCAGCTGACACCATTAGCTCAGGACCTAATTACTGCTTATTGGAGCAACAAATGAGGGAGAGGGCCAGCTGCAAAGGAAGAGTTTTTATCCACCGCCACCCCCTTCCCCCCCCCCCCGCCCCTCAGGGGTCCCGGGTGAATTCTCATTAACTCGCAAGACTCCTGCAACAACAGTTCCTCTTCTCTGGAGGCCACCCTGACTGCTTTTATTCTTTTTATTTCCTCCTTTTGTGTCTATATTAAAATGTTCAGATAAATCCGTTGTCCTGAGTCCTTGAATTTCCCCCCAATAAATATTACACCAATAGAGCTCAGAGAGTACACGTGGGCTAGAAGACACAGTATCTAATAATCTAATCCAAGTGTGCGGGGAGTCACTTTGAACTTCCTGAATCGGGTATTTATCTGCAGGCCTTTTAAGAATGTAGTACCTTAAATACATAAATATTTGGAACAAGCAGTTGAACAGAAGAATCTCTTGCATCACCTCAGGGTGGTGTAGCTCACAAGAATAGCTCTGTTAAAAGTTTTCCTTGTGGCATCAGAGATAGAGAATGATTCCAAGCGGGGAGATCTAGATTTTATTGTATGTGGTTTCATGGTTCCTATAAGATTCTGGAAGTAGAGTTAGTCCTAGGGTGGCCATTCATTCAAGAGTACGCTGTGGTTCTGTAAAATTTACTTTCTCTTATGGTTATCACTTAACTCACAGTTTCCGAATTCTTTTGGTTGCTTTTGTCTGAAAAGTCATCCCATCTCCTCTAAGTCTTAGCCGAGTACTTCCAGACCCATGAAGCCTGCCTTCCTTGGCTACTCACATTAAAACAATGTCTTTAAACTCCTCTGCAAACTGTCTTTCAAACATTTTGAACCTTGTCTCATAGTGAGACATGCACTTTAATTGACATACAGCACATAAGCACATTTGTCCTCCAAAACTGTTATGAAAAATATTTGATTACATGCAATACACACTGAGATTTGCCATTTGCTCCCATTTATTATTACTCTGATGTAAAGTGTGGCCCCAACCCAATACATTTATTTTATGATTCAACAAAAGATGACTGGCAACCAACAGTTTTTAAGCCATTGTTTTAGATTATAAAGAGTATATTCCCCTTGTACTATATTTATAGTTTCATTAGTCAAATAGAATCTTGAATGGAAGACCCCTGAGAGTTTTGTTGTTTTTTTCCCGTTACTGTAGCACAATGAAAAATGCATATAGTAAGTGCTTAGTAAATATATTTTGAGTTAGTTAATATAGTAAAGAGAGAGAAAGAGAGTTAGAGAAGAAGCAGGTAGGCACAATCCTTGGCCATCCCTTTTGACCTTTGCTGGGTAGTGTTTGGATAAAGTTGGTTGTTAAGGCCAAAGGTGATCTGGGGTGGGGGGGTGAAAGGATTGAGAAAAGACAGACAAGAGAATGAAAGCTGGTCTCAGTGGGACGCTGCTCCCTGATGAGGAGACAGCGCCCACAAGCCGTGTCTTTATTTTATAGCAGATGCCACGAGGCACTGTAGGGGCGTGATCAAGTTGTTTACAGCATTCTCGTGAGTTTCAACCCTACTCAACTACATGCACCTGAACTCTAGCACAAGGCACATGGGGAAACGTGTTTGGACCATAGGTTCAAGCTTACAACCACAGCTGTTGGCTATGATTGTGCTGGGAGAGCCCTGCCCTCCAGCTGAGACTTGCACGTGGCAATGAGAGGACCCTGTCCTTTCATTAGTCAGAGGCTTGAACCTGGCCAAAACACTGTAGCCACGCCCCACAGTTGGTCTTAAGAAAATACCCGGCCTTACCACATACACAAGTTCATTAGATTTATGACTATACTTGATACTCTAATGCACAGAAATTAGAGCACTTTAGACATAAGAATTCACAGAATACAAGCTAATGTGTAATTAATTCTCAGCTATATTAACTAAATTTGGTATACAAGCAAAAAGAAAAACCCACAAAATTAAAAGTCATACAAGATGCATTCTTTTTAGAAGGCACAGATAAACAGTTAATTATTGAAATAATATTCACATTGGACAAAAGGAATTAAGAGCCCTAGAATTGCATGGGCCAAGCTCTCAGAGCCATGTGGATTCTCCTATCCATAGTGGAACCCAAAATGTACTTTGCTCTATACTTGTACTCATTATTGTTTGTCTAGGCCAGGGGTGGGCAAACTTTTTGACTTGAGGGCTACAATGGGTTCTTAAACTGGACCGGAGGGCCGGAACAAAAGCATGGATGGAGTGTTTGTGTGAACTAATATAAATTCAAAGTAAACATCATTACATAAAAGGGTACGGTCTTTTTTTTTTTTTTTTAGTTTTATTCATTTCAAACGGGCCGGATCCGGCCCGCGGGCCGTAGTTTGCCCACGGCTGGTCTAGGCTGTCGACATCTTTTACCACTAGCAGAGATGGGGAACCTTTTTTTCTGCCAAGGGCCATTTGGATATTTACAACATCATTCACAGGCCATACAAAATTATCAATTTAAAAATTAGCCTGCTTATATTTGTTCAAATATTTTATTAACTCACCCATTATGCCTTGGCAGGGCCAGACCAAATGATTTCAAAGGCCTTATGTGGTCCATGGGCCGGATATTCCCCACCCTGACTAAGAGCATGTATATCTGACAAATCTAACAACCGCTTCAGCAACTTTGGATTTATTCCCCTCCTTTACTTTTAACTTCTCTAGAGTCAGTACCTCCCAGCCCCACCTGGAGGGTCGTACTGAGCCTTTTCATCAGCTCAGTTATGCTTCATGTAAATAGGCTACCTGGAACTTAACTTTCCATTTCCCAAGAAGATGACTTCAGAATTGTTTCTCTACAGAGCATCTCTCTCCAAAAAATGACTTCATCCCTACCCCTGGCCCAGGGTTCTGACAGCTATTTATAGGTGGAGGAAGTCAGAATTATTATATCAGAGAATTATATTTTTAAGTATATTTTTTATTGATTTCAGAGAGGAAGGGAGAGGGAGAGAGAAACATCAATGATGACAGAGAATATCAGTGACTGTCTGCCTCCTGCACACCCCCTACTGAGGATGGAGCCCGCTACCCGGGCATGTGCCCT